CCCCAAAACCCCAAAACCCCAAAACCCCTATATGCAATTAAATTAGAATTTTTAGTTAATAAAAATTAAATTAAATATTTATTATTGTATTTTAAGCAAAATAAATGAAAATATCATGTAAGAATACTATAAACCTCAATTTCTATAACTTTGAAGTTATATGCTCCAGCAAGATAATCTTTTGCCTGTTTTTCCTCAAACTTATATCCATTAGGAAGAGAATATGTCCCACCAAGATTGCAATGACTTTTTTAATTATTGTTACATTCAGATTCTATGATTATGTCTTATCCTTTGCCAAAAATCATTAAGCAGCCTTTGTTATGTTCTAGAGCTCTTTCAAAGGATTGATACTATTTATGGACAGTATTTTTAGTCAATGAAAAAATTAGGGCTTCTTAATCTTTAATATGCTCCCATTTAGGAGATTTCCAAGATAGTGATGTGTATCCTCCGAAAACTTACCCTGTTTCACTAAGGATATAAGAAATATTTGGCCCTTTGTTATCACACAAAGAATGAAAATTTGTTGCCTTAAATCCGTCTCTAGTTCCTTTATAAATTAGCTGCGTTTATTATCTAATTCTGAATCCTGTAATGTTAACGATAGTGGCTTTTAAATCAGAATCTATTCATGAAAGATCTACTAATCTTCTAAATTCAGCATAATGCTTCTTTTCATCATCTTTTAATTTGGAAATCGTCTCAGATTCAAGTTTCTTAAATGATTCTTGCTTATTTTTAATTTCCTCTTCTATTTTCAAATTCATATCAATGTAGCTCTTCCTATTAAACGAATTATTCAAAATAAGATAAATTTACGAGAAATTAGAAACAAAAGTTATTAAGTCTCTTTTCCCTCTAAGATTTTTCTTTTTTATTTCATCAGAAGTAGTAAATTCAATAATTTCCAGATTCTTTTTAATCATATTTTTTAGTTCATTGAAAGTGAATATTCTCTCTTTGAGAATAAATTACTAGTAGTTTTAAATCAATATCTATATATGACCTATTTCTTCGTTTAGCATTGGAATCAATTTTTCAAATGACTCTTCTAAATATTTTCTGTCAAATAATAATTAACTTTGTTTGTCATTAATTATGTTTTATTCATGATTCTATTCTGATATACATTTGATGCATACCATTTTTTGCAGAACCTTATTATATATTCATGCATCTTCTTCTAGATGTGTATCGCATTTAATCAAATAAAAGTCTTAATTCGAAAGTGTTCTTGCAATGAATGTTGCTTCCTGAATTTTTTCATCTCTACAATGAAGATGACTTGGATTAAATGGACATTGTAATTATTAGGTCTGGAGCTGGTCTATTTGGAATTTATAGCAATTTAGGCAGATGATGTCGTTGCATTATAGTTAAATAGGTTTTCTATCATTCAAATTGAAATATTTATTGCACGAGTAACATATGTATACGTCTAATTACTTATTATTCTACTCCATTGAAGTAAGCTATAAACTGTTAATTTGATAAAAATAATATTACTAGACTTATATAATCTCAAAGTTGAGTCTAGCTAAGTGTCTAGTTATAAAATCTGATTTTTAATTACTTAAAATTATTGAGTTTAAATTGATATACTTTAGAGATTTTATTTTGAGAAACAATAATTGTTAAATTATTCTGCCTTAGGGGTTTTGGGGTTTTGGGG